TGCCCGGCGGCTTTGGGGCCTCGGCTGAGCCCTCGGCAGCAGTTTGGGGAAAAGTAGGTGAGGTCGGAGCCAACCGGCCTAAACCCTGCGAGTCCCTAATTGTTGTCACAAGACGCGGGATTAGCGCATTGCTGGAATAGCTGTCTGTTTACACTCGGGAGCCCCGCCGGCCGGTAAACACTTTCTAATTGAATTCTAATCACATCCAAATAGCTCCATAACCAGCCTCAGCTGCAATTCATAAAACTTTAATTGCCATCCATAAATCCTCAGATCGCCGTGTGCGGAGTGTCCCTAAAAACGCTGTTGCATCGTTCCCACTCAGGGCTGTCGGGGATGTGGCGGAGAGGAAAAAGAGCGAACGGGGCTGGAGTCGAGCCGGCCCTTGCTCGGAGGGGGTGAGGGGTGGCACTGCCCACGGCAGGTTGGAGACAAGGACGGGACGACAGGGCAAGACCTGGTCCCTCTCCCAGCAAGGCTCGGGTAGTACCTCTGAGCCTTGCTGGTCCAAGGGGCGAGGAAATGCCGTGACTATGAGAAGGCGGGCAGCAATTTTACTTTGCTGGGTTTAAACAGAAAGGAAGTGGGTGTGCAGGAGGGCTTGTAGGATGTCCGCGTCCCGATCCGGCCCTTGTGCGCGGTAACCGCCTCTAAACACGTTACGGCTATTGATGCAGTCCCTCGCCTCTGCACAGCCTCTGGTAATCAGGCGTAGTCCGTGTTTTCTGCTTTAAAGCACAATTGTCACTTTCCTTTCCCGAATCAAGTGGGATGGGATCCGTGGTCTGTTTTAAACGCCGCTTTGCATCTGCCAAACAAGAACGCGATCGCCCTTCTATTAATGATAAGTCTCTTCTTAAACTCCCATAAAACAAGTCATTGGAAAATTGTGTAAAATGCTGTGAATACCTTGGCTTTTTAATGCAATCTGAAATGCTACGGAGCCACCGACCGTATTTAGCTGTTTATCCAATTTTACTTTGAATGATTGCTTCAGCAAACTTGGTGGAGATCAAAGAATCCCTCCCCGACATGTTCGCCTTTCATTAGCGCTGCTCGCTGCAGTCCTGAAGCGGTCGGGGAAGTTCACTTGGAAGTTTTCCGTTTTGATACCATTTGGCTGAGAATTGTCCAGATATTTGAAGGCTTTGTCCGTTGGAGTAATTGCCAATTTGGCAGGATTCACTCGGGGTGAAAAGGGCGAGGAAGAAAAAAAACAAAACAACAAAAACACAACAAAAACCAAACAACAAACCAAATCACAAACCCAGCAACACATACGACATGCATATGTATGCACAGAGGCAGACACACGTTCGATCCCTAGTTTTGTAGGGATCCCTAGACTGTATCTGCCTCTGGCTTCTCTGGTCCGGGAAGGGCCTCCTGGAGGAGTCCTGCTATAAGTAGTGGACCGGAACGTGGAAAGATGGCCTCGCGCCTGCGTGAGGGTCACGGGCCCTCCGATGATACTTTTCCCGGGGGCGGGGGTACAGGCGTTGACCCACTTGTTTCAGAGCATCACCTGCTCCCTCTCTTCTTCCCTCTCTGCGGGGAAAGGAGCGTTCTCCTCGGGGAAAACCCCCGAGCAGAAACTCCCTCTGACAGATTTTACATCCCCTGCCCCCAACTCCCCACCGAGTTTAGTGACAGCGGGATGTGCCTGTGAGTGCGACGTGTGACGGAGACGCGGCTCAGACCGGGGCAGCCGCCCCCTCCCCGGCTTCCCCGCTCCTATAATTTATCTGGGGCGGAGACGGAGGCGAAGGACTGAAGTCATCGGGCAGCGAGAGAGCACGCACACTTTGGGGGGCCCCCCCCCTTTCCCTTCCATCTCTCCCCCCTCCCCTCCAGCAGCCTCTCCTGCCTGCCTGGGAAGCCAGGGAGATTTAGATCTGCGAGGCTTTCAGCCATCACGTGTTTAAATAGTTGATATAAAACCCCGGCGCAGGGGATCCAGGCGGGGGGACTTTAAGACCAGCCCTCTCCAGGGACCCTTTTGTTCAGCTCTCAAACATAAGCACCTTCTCGCCTCGCCAGGACTTCAGTGGCAACTTGGCCAAGCAGGAAAAGCCCGACGTTGGAGAGCCGCCCCCGGCTTCGGCAGCCCTCCGAAATGTCCCGCTCTTTCTATGTCGGCTCCTTAATCATCAAAGCCTCCTCGAGGCCGGCTCCATCCCTGCCTGAGCATCACCACGGCCAGGACTTCTTCATCCCTCTCAGCATGCCTTCTCCCCTCGTCATGTCCGTGTCGGGCCCGGGCTGCCCGTCCCGCAAGAGCGGCGCGTTCTGCGTCTGCCCGCTCTGTGTCACCTCGCACCTGCACCCCTCCCGCGGCGGCGGCGGCGGGGGTGGCGGCGGGGCCATCCCCCTGCTCAAGACCCAGTTCC